CGCGGTGAGGTCGACTCCGAGACATGGCGAGCACTTGGTGGCCGAGACGACGTGACCCTTGGGCGCGTGGAGCACCCATGATGCGCCCGGCCAGCCCGCGGCGGTTGGCGATCACCACGCTCCTTCGGCGAGATGCGGAGGCCGTTGGAGACAAACATGTCGCAGGTCTCGGCAACGGTGGCGACCAACGTGCTCGCCCATACAGTGCCGTTTTTAATACATGCTCCGCGTGCGGATCATGTATTAAACATGCAGGGATTTAGTCTTAAAAACAACGATGAGTTCATGCATAAATTCATTCATACATTAATCATGCATTAAACATCCGATATTTTTTGAATTCCTATGTACTAAAAACTGCCCTGTGATTTCTCCATTTCTTTTCCCTATAGGTGTGAGTGGCCCGCGACATGTGCGACCGAGGTGTTCGCCCGGCAGGGGCAGAGGTTCAGACCACCGTCTCCGAGCTCCGACGGGAGCTAGCAGCCCCCCTCTCCTCCTCCTTTTTCTCCTCCTCCTCCTTTTCCTCCTCCTCCTCCTTTTCCTCCTCATTTTCCTCCTCCTCCTCCTCCTCCTCCTGTTCCTTCTCCTCCCTCCTCCTCCCTTCCTCCTCCTCCTCTTGCTCCTCCTCCTCCTCCTCCTCCTCCTATCCTCCTCCTCCTCCTCCTCCTCCTCCTCCTCCTCGTCGGTATGGTGCACTCCGGAAGCGACGGTTGCCCCGTTGTCCTCCATGACAGAGGTGAGCACCACGCCGCTAACCAGCGCCACGATATCGATCGCTGACCACGTTTTTCACCATGATGGCGTTGGGCAGCACAGCGCCTTCCAACACTCTGGAATCTGTCGCTGCCATGAACGCCGCTACGTTCTCCAACACGACGGAGTCGATTACCAATGCGGTACGCAGCACTATGAGATCGAGCGCTAACATGACGTCCGCGATGGACTCGGGCACTACGCCGATATCCATCACTGCGGCGTGGAGAACCACTATGTGACGGGTGGTGACCCGCCAGGTCACCCGTTCCGGCGCCCTGCATGGTCACGATTGTGCGTTGCATGGTCGTTCATGTTGAACACCATTGCGGTACCCACGGCGGAGACGAATACTGCGTCGTCCCCAGCAGTGTTGAATCGAGTTCTCACATGCTGTCGACAGCTTTGGGGTTGAACACCACGTCGGACTCGAGCACATCGGAACCGATCACTACCACAGGGTGTGCACTGGAGGTGGGGTCTACTTCTCGTCCGGAGCTATTCGCGCTTGTCTTATTGTAGCGGCCTCCGGCCGGCCGCCGATCCGGGACGCTTCCGTTGTTGCCGGAAGCGCACGATGGCGGTTATGACCAGCGACGACGGCGAGCGGTGAGGATGATGATGGCGATTAGGAATGGAGGCAACGGAGTAGGATGAGGATGCTGATGGTGATGATGCTGATGATGATGATGATGATGATGATGTTGATGATGATGATGCTGATGATGATGATGGTGATGATGATGATGATGATGATGATGATGATGATCATGATGAGGTGGAGGGGGGTGGGGGGAGGGGCAGGAGTAGCAGGATGCTGAGGATGCGGAGGAGCAGGAGGAAGTGGGAAGTGGAAGAGGGGGAGGGGGAGAAGGAGGAGCATGTTGTAGATGGGGGAGGAAGTGGAGATTTCCGGCGGTTGTTGGAGATGTTCGGCGGTTGTTGGAAATCCTTTTTGGGGCCAGGCTTTGGCCTTCTTTGGGTTAACACTTCGCCAATTTGGCGCACTCGAGCTGTCTGCGTCACAGTTCTGTGTGGAGCCTCGTGCATCACCGGCTTCTGCTGGGAACTCTGGTGTTTTGGGGGTCTTTGGGGCCTTCGCGCGGTCCTCTGCGGGCCCGTGTGAGATCATGGATGTGAAGGACACCGAAGACGGGATAACTTGTGAAAACAAGGAATATTTTTTTTGTATTGCAGCGCCTGTGTTCAGGCGTAAGCGTCGTGGAAGCAGCGGGGCCGGTTTTGGGCTTCTCGGGGGGAGTCTTGGAGGCATATTGGAGGCCTCTAGAAGGCGTTTTGGATGCATTTTCGAAATTCCTGGGAACCTTTAGGGGCTTCAGGGGGCCTCTTCGGGGCCAGTTGGAGCGTTTTGGGGCCTCTTCAGGCCTCGTGGGGGCCTCTGGGGGCCTGCTGGGGGCTTTTTGGGCCGTTTTCGGTACTTCTTCTGCCGTCTTGGCGCCCTCTCAGGCGCCTCTTGGGCCCGTCGCGGCCCTCTTGGGCCTTTCCGAGGGCCTCCTGGGCCATTTTGGGCCCTTCTTGGGCCGTCTTGGAGCCCTCTTGGCGGCTTTTTGGGCCGTTTTGGGGCTCTCTTGGAGCGTGCGCGACGCTCTGAAAGCCCAAGAGGCGAACGTGCTAAAATAGTACGTTTCCCAGGGCACTTTTTGCTTCTTTGGGCCTTCCTTGGGGGGCCTTTTCGGGGCTTCTGAGGGCATCTTGGAGGCTTCTGGAGCCGTCTTGGGGACACTGTGGGCGTCTTGTAGCGATCGTTCGGCGACTCGGGGCCCTCTTGGGCGAGGGGGCCCTCCTGGGCGAGGGGGCCGTCCCGGAGTGAGCTGGAGGTCCGATTCCGCCCTGGGAGTTCAATCGACCCCCCCCCGTCCCCGTGCCCCAGCAGAGCCACCCCAGCACCACCCCCCCAACAGAGCTGAAGCCAGGAATTGAGGTTCAGGCTTTTCTGAGGGCCTTCGAAACTCACACGCCGGATCGGCGGATATCCGACCGAACGTCAGGAGGCTCGTGCGCCGGCGGGCCCGTGGTGCGCGAGCCCGACGCGCGCGTCGCCGCGCGCTGGCGGCCACCTGCTGCCGCGTGCGTCGTCCTCCTCTCCTCCTCCTCCTCGTCCTCCTCCTCCTTCTCCTCCTCCTCGTCCTCCTCCTCCACGCTCCCCCTCCTCCCCCTCCTCCTCCTCCTCCTCCTTTTCCTCCTCCTCGTCCTCCTCCCGCCTCCGCTGCCGCCACCACGGCAGCTGAGGACGGAGCCTGCAGCATCCCCAGCGGAAGTGCCTTTTCCAGAGTCGGCACCCGAGGCTCTCATGGGGCCGCCCCGCACCTCGCGAGCGCGCGCCGTCTGAGACTGCTCCGCAGGATCACTCGAAACCACCGCCTCCACGTCTAGCAAGACCGCCAGGCATGCCGCCCATGACGCCGCCGCCATCGCCACGGGCACGACGTTGGCCAGACGAGTCGATCCAGAGGGGTGCAAGGCAGCTGCGGGCTCAAACCGCTCGGTCTCGCAGTCTTCCGCCATCTCCCGCACGCCGTCGCCGCCGCTCGCCCGCCGTGTCCGGCCCCGTGCGCCCTCCTATGAACCGCACCAGCAAAGCTGCGCCTGCTGCGCGAGCTGCGGCACCTCCTCCACCGAAGGTGCCACGCACGGCGCTGGAGGAGTCGAGGGTTCCTCAGGGACTGGCACGTCAGCGAACCCGTCCCGCCGTCGGTAGCGCGAAAGTGCCTGCTCAGCGGCACGAGCATGGAGCCAGAGATGCGCGCAGCCTCCACCCATGAGGCTCGCCGCGCAGTGGGCTTGGTGACCGACGTGAGACCGACCTCAACAGCGAGCCCATATCGGTGATGACGGTGTTGCTCAACACGAGGCTGCTTCAGGTCTGGTCGTCTTGGTCGCCTTCGCAAAGGTTCGAATGCCGCTGGTACTGGCAGCTGCTCGACCTTGGCACCTGGCGGGGTTACGGCCAAGATCCTTTCCTTCTCGTGGATGGGAATGCTGAGTGGCTGCCCAAAGCAAGATCGGCCCTCAGAAACCCGTCCCCAGGTCGCTGCGCTTCCCGTCGCCGGGTGTCGAGTCGGCCGACAACGCCGCCGCGCCACTCCCCAAGTTCCCTGCAGCACCATCCCAAGCACTGGGACCAGGAGATGGCGCACGGCAGCGACGTGGCCGACAGCGCTGGATGGAGACCCTCTCTGCCACCACCGCCGTCGTTTTGGCCGCGCACCGGCAGAGCCGGGCCCCCATCGGCGTGTGCAAGGGCACGAGCGAGAGCAAGAAGAATGACAAGAGTAAGGCCGAAGGCGACCGCACCAAACCCAATAAGAAAGTGCGTCGCAGAGGTGAGGGCCAATCGTCGGCGAGCGGCCGCTTCATCGCGCGCAGCAGCCTACGCTGGCGACGACGCCGAATCCCCACTGGGCAGTGCCGCACCAGGCGCGCCAGGCGAGGAGGTGATGATGAGAGGCCGCGGCAGGTCCCAGCCTCAGGATAGCGACTGAGGCATTTTCTTCATCCTACCTGGTAAAGGCTTCGTCGCACCTCGACCGCGTCTCCCCGCTTGACCCTGGGCCACCGCCCGCGCCTGAAATTTACGACAGGCTTTCAGACTTCCTGTCTGCGGCCCAGGGGCCGCCAAACTTACGACGAAGCGGCCTGGCTGCTGAATTCGCACCACTTCTACTCGTGTGACCTCCTCCAATGCCCCTCCTGGGAGCACGATCGAGCTCCTCGACGCATGGTGAGCCCGCCTCCCTCCGTGCCGCGCAGTCAGGCCAGACAGCGAATGGGCATCCCTGCTGAGTTGTGAATGTGCTGGGGGCTGGACGGTTTTGGTTCCTTTCGCTCCGTTCCTGTGTCTTCGCCAGGGCTGTTCGATCGCCCGCGCAACTCCGACTCAAATGGAATGTTCTGCCGCCAATTGGCTTCAGCGGTGGCGCGTATCTTAATTGTACTCATGAGTTGGAAAGCCCGCTATCGACATCTTACTGACGCGCTGCATTCAGTCAAGCTTCCACCCCCCGCAGTTCTAATTTCTCCTCCTCCTCCTCCTCCTCTCCTCCGTCTCCTCTCCCTTCTCCTCCTCCTCCTCTTCCTCCTCTTCCTCTTCCTCCTCCCTCCTCCTCCCTCCTCCTCCGCCTCCTCCTCCTCCTCCTCCTCCTCCTCCTCATGTTACTTCTTGTGCACCCTCCCCCTTTCTCTACCCCTCTCCCCCGGGCCGCGCGAGCCCGCGCGCGAGGGAGGCGGCGGCGCCCGGGTGGTGGCTCGCACGCGCGAGCAGCAGCACTGCTTCAACTGCCCGTTCCAGCTGTCCAGCCTGCCCTCGGAGGCAGGGGGCGGGGCTGGTGTTATGATGTTCCAACCTACTTTAGCCCTGATCGTCAGAAAGAATTTCGAGCGCCAAGAAGGTACCGAAACTGGAGGGCTTTCACGTGTCGGGGCCCGGGAGGCGATACTCGTTTGGCACTGTTTTGACACTCTGTGTGGACGCTCGAACTTATTTTTGGGGATATGGCCTTTGAGTGCGACGGGGGCAACATAAGGCTGGCGCGCGCGCGCGCGTGTGTGTGTGTGTGTGTGTGTGTGTGTGTGTGTATGTGTGTGTGTGTGTGTGTGTGTGTGTGTGTGTGTGTTTGTGTGTGTGTGTGTGTGTGTGTGACGGCCTTGACGTGAGGCCCCGCTTTCTTTTGCCCTCCCTCTCTAATTAATGATGTGCGCGGCCCGCTTAGCATCTATCGGAAGAGGTTCGCTCTCGCCCCGCAGATCAAACAAGTGTGTGTGTGTGAGAGAGAGAGTGGAACGGGCCAAAGCGTTTGCGTGCAGAGAGAGGGGTGCACGATTTCTGTCCGCGTGGGCCCCCTGTTGCATCAGACCTGCGCACGTCCAGCACGTGTTCCAACCTACAGTCAAAAACCCTAATAAGGACGCGCGACATTGCTCAGGGCACCCTTGCGTCCTTGCTCGTCCTTGCTCTTGCGTCCTTGAGGTTTTCGTCATCCGCCGCCCCAAAAATCCCAACTTCGGCTTCCAAGGGTCTTGCGTCCTTACCGCGCGTCCTTATTAGGGTTTTTGATTGTACTTTAGCCTAGATCACCACAAGAGTTACCAGAAACGTGCCGAAACTCGAGGGTTTTCACGTGTCAGGCCCTGGGAGGTACTCGCCCGACACCGTTTCGGCACTATTTCGAAGCTCTTTCGGCACTGCTCCGGGTGTTCGAAATCGTTTCTGGGATGTTGTGGTCCTTAAGTGCGATGGGACCAAAATGAGACAAGCATCGCTTCGCATCATTTGGCCGCAGCCGTTTCCTGCAGGAGAAACGTTCCATCTCTGAACAAGCCCCGGCGCCTTGAGCGAGGGCGTGGCAGCAGACGGGCCAGGAGCCTCCCCTCTCCTCCATCTCCTTTCCCCATTCTATCCTATTCGTCATTGTTTTGGTTTGAGTTCCTGATATTACGCTTCCAACTCCTCTTTCCATCCTTTCGTATTCTTCTCGCCCATATTATTGCAAAGGCTGTGCGGCCGTCTCCGCTGACCTTGGAACGAGATCACCAACAGCGCATGAGGCGGGAGGCGGGGGGAGAGGATGAGGCCTCGCGGAAGCCTCTCGGGGGCTTCTTGGCGGTCTCGGGGGGCTTTTTTTGGGGGCCCTCTGTGTGGCCCCCTGGGCCGTCTTGGGGAAATATCGGCGGCCTGTTGGGCTTGGTTGAATGGGAAGAGAGAAAAGGCGAGAACGATGTAGTTCTGCGAAAACCTGCACGCAAGTCGTGATGTGTGCTTCCTGAGGCCCTCCTGGGGCGGGTTTCTTGGGCCGACTTGGAGACTCCCGGGGCCGTCTCGGCGGCATCTTGGCCGTCGCGGGCTTTTGCCGCCACAAGATGGCCAAGCTGGCTCTGAGACTAACGAGAAGGAACAGGGATAGGAGCGCATTCAGATCCAAAGCCTCTTCTGGGAGACTCTGGGCGTTTCCCACGGGACCTCCCCCCTTCCCCCCCCGTCGGGAGAGGGTTCAAGGGAAGGGGCTTCCCTTCGGTTTGGTTAAGATTTCTCTCGGGCTGGCGACCTTGAAACGCTCCATTGCTGCTCTACAGAGCTCTGGGGTGATGGGCTGTGCAAGGCTGTCGCGAAGCCTCTCACACACGCCGACAAGCTCGGCGGATTCGTTTCAGATCTGCGGCCCTTGAAGGGGCCTACTACCCTCGGGTTCTCTGCCTTCGCCACCCTGAATGAACGCCGTCCACGTCGAGCGCTTTTTCCGCGCGCACGTGCCTCGGCTCAGACCGGATGAGGAGGATGCGGGGCTGGGGGGCGGAGGAGGAGGAGGGGGACGAGGATGGGGAGGAAGAGGAAGATGTGGGAAGAACGGAGGAATAATACGATGGGAGGAGAAGGGGGAGGAGGAGGAGGAGGAGGAGGAGGAGGAGGAGGAGGAGGAGGAGGAGGAGGCGGAGGCGGAGGCGGAGGCGGAGGCGGAGGCGGAGGAGCAGGAGGAGCAGCACGCGAAAGGGCCACCCTGGTTGCCCCTCGGCCCGCGCCCTGTCGCGCGCGAGGCGGAGGCGGAGGCGGAGGAGCAGGAGGAGCAGCACGCGAAAGGGCCACCCTGGTTGCCCCTCGGCCCGCGCCCTGTCGCGCGCGCGCGCCGGGGGCCGCGCCGCGGCGCCGTGGCTTCGGCCAGCCTGGATCCGGGCCAGCCAGGCGCGGCCGGCTGCTCCACCGCGGCCGCGGCGCGCGGCCATGGCGGGACCGCGCGGGGCGCCCGGCAGAGCCCGGGCGCCGGCCGCCGCCCTGGCGCTCGTGGTGGGCGCCTGGCTCGCAGCGCTCCCGTCCCCGGACCTCTGGCGTCGCAGCAGGTCTTGGACGCCCGCCGCGTGGTGAGGGGGCGAGCCGTGTCGGGGGCGGCAACCCTGACCTTCCAGGAGGGCAAACAAAAATAGCACCCCACTTAGAAACCGATACCGAAGCTATTCTACGTCTTGGTTTTAGGCTGTTTCGCTCAGCTTTTTAGGTTTTTAGGTCTCCAGTGCTAAAAAATAGCTCTCTGGAAGGTCAGGGAAAGAGGAGGGTGATGACTAGGGGTGGTGGTGGATCTCATCCCCCCCTCTTGGGCGCCCCCCTCTCGGCCGACCCCAGCAGTGGGGGGGGCAGCGGGGGGGCAGCGAGGGCTGCAGAGACGGGCCCGCGGGCGGGCCTCCACGGGGCCCGGGGAGTGCACCTTCCTCCATCCTCCATCCTCCATCCTCCCTCCATCCTCCTCCTCCTCCTCCTCCTCCTCCCACGATTTGTCGCTCCCCCCTGAAGCTGTTTTGGGATCAGGAATTCTGGCCTTCTCTGAGGCGGCAGGCGCAACGCCAACGTTGTTGAAGTCGGGATGCGAAGCACTTGCGGCCACAGAGTAGATAACGTCGCCATTGAGCGCGGTCTCTGTGTACGCGAACATATCCGACTGAAACTAAGTCTGTGGGGTTCCTCGGTAGCGTAATCTACGGGTCTGGCGACAACCCAGGTTGTCGGACCCGCCCGCACCTCCCCTCCCCCCTGGGTAACCTGACCTTGTCGGTTGCGCAGTTCCGTAGGGGGTTCGCAGTACTGGTGCTCGCAGGCACACATGGGGATGCCCAAAGCGAAAAGGTTAGGTTATCGGCAGGCAACTCTTCTTCCCAACCCAACCGGGTAACCCAGCTGATCGCCGAACAATGGAAACGTTTCCAACAAACGGAATGGCCGTCGTGTTTTCTCTTCGGTAGCCAATCGCAAATTATTGGGGCTTTGTATAGCGTGCATTAGTGTCGACTTAGTGTCGATTCAGCTTCGATTAGAGTCGATTTGCGTCGATTAGCAAGAGCCGACAAGATGGTATGGGGGGCTCCCATGAGTTGCCGGAGAAGCTTCTCCGCGGCGGCCCCAGAGGTCCGGGCCGGCGCGCGGTCCGCGGGCGCGCCCCTTCCCAGGCAGAGCCAAGAGGGTGTCACCGCGTCGGGGGGTCCTCACCTTTGCGAGGAGGGGGAGGAGGACCTTCGAGTCGGCTGGGGGTCTGAAGTGGTCCAGCATTGGTTCTGGCCAGCTGGAAGGGGGGCAGGTTTGAGGTTCTGGGTTCCATCAGATTTTCTTGTTCATTATTCAGTGCATTTTATGTTAACACGAATTTTCGGTTGTGGGAGACGTTTTCAGGCCCTGGGACCGTCAGAAACGGATCCGAGGCGAAAAAGTGCGCCAGCCAGATGGACCTCGGGAGGGGTCCTGGGACCGATTTTGAGTGGATTTGGCTTCGTCCCCCCTCCTGCCCGATTTTCGGGGGTCCCAACCAGTTCAGACTCCCCGGCCGCTTCAAAGGAGGACCTCATCAAGACCACCTCTCCGATCTTAGGAGCCACGCAGAACCAAGCAGCGTCGTCTACATGCCTCCTCGATCCTCGAGCCTCGAGCCTTGATCCCGCGGAGGAGCTGATGACCTCCCTCTCGATAGTTAGTCTTCAGGCCGTGCGTTTGCCACCGATGTGTTTCAGGAGGGAAAGAAACACACAGACACAATTAATCGTAGATTCCCCAGAAAATATAAGAAAATATGGGAACTGGGGGGAAGACAAAAACCCAGAAATATAGGAAGATATGGGGAACGTTTTTATTTGTGTGTATTTATTTGTGTGTCCCAGGGCCCCTTCAGTGTTTTTAGTCCGTCCAGCCTTACCGACAGCATGCAGCCGGTGTCGGCCCCAGCCACACAGCCTGCGCGCCGTGTTGAGTGGCTTCGGTGGACAGGCACACGTTGGCGCCAACATCAGGAGGAGAAAAAGCACACAGACACAATTAATCGTCGAGTCCCAGGAAAATATGGGAAAATATGGGAAGTGGGGGGGAAGACAAAAACTTAGGAAACATGGGAAAGTATGGGGAATATTTCTATTTGTGTGTATTTATTTGTGTGTCCTGGGGCCCCTTTATAACAGGCGTTCTGAGGATCACCCTAGCAGGTTCCATTTCAATCCTATCGGCCCGATTCGATTTCGACTTCGCTGGGCCCCATCTTTTTCTCGCCCGCCCCAGTCTTGCCACCGACGGCCATGGGAACTCAGCGCGCGTGCTCCGAGATTGGCGAGGAGGGCGAACATCTCGAACCGTGGGTGGACCGGATAGAACGAGTCGCAACTTACATGGACGATCAGATGCTCAAGCTGGGCTCGACGACTGGTGTTCTGCGTGGCGCCGCAGAGTCTGGAAGTTTGCGTCACGAGTTGCGCAACTACCCGTCGACCGTTGGGCTTGCAGAGTAGTGAAATTGGATCCTGAGGGCCATGCGCGCCAGAAGGGTAGACAACCAAACCGGCCGAAGAGGAGATGGTGTGACGAGAA